CCAAAATTCGTCGTCCATGGGATTTGAACTCTAGACCTGCCACTTGGAGGTTGACAACCTGACCACTTCACTAGGTCGCCACACCCCTTGGCATCATATTTTTTAAAATTGAAGCTTCACAATAAATTAATAAAAATATTGTACAAATGATGCCACAAATGCTCCATGAAGTTTCATCAGTATAATTTCTAGATCGATATGTTCTGATCTCTTCTGCATCAGATCCCCAACCATACCAATACCACCATGTATACCTATAATGATCTTCATATGATTTATATCCAAACCCTAATCCAGGCCATATGAGAAGCAATGAACTGCTTAATACTAAATCACGTAATTTCCATATAAGCAATCTATTCCCATTATCATTTATAGCAGTAAAAATCTTGACACGAAATTGATGACCAAGCAAAGTATAAAAAAATATCAAGAAAGATGAATTGACATATAATGTCAAAGTTTGTATAGAAAAAGGGCCATAGTATGAAATTAATAACACCAAGGAACCAATAAAATCGAGGCTAAGATAAATAATTAAACCAAGTACCATAAGAATTTTTGGTGATAATACGACAAGAATTTTTGGATCTGGCTCTGGCATGAAAATCATGCTAATAATAGTTCGCAATCCTATTACCCAAATGCCAAGTTTGAGTAGAGTATAAATAAGAATACCACAGATAGGTGAGCTTAATTTGAATGCATTAAACAAAGTAGGTGGCTTAGTTGTTTCGATTGACAAATCATGATTATCATTATTGTTTCCAGCTCTAATAGATAAACTGATACTTAAATACCAAAAGCCTGAAATAATTCTCCATATTAAATAAAATGTAACCAGAATGACTAACACATAATTATTTTGAAGAAGAGTGACATCCTTACTATTTCCATAACTGAATATATTCATAAGAACTAGGGTCACTAAAATAGGTATATCAACACTCACAAAATCTAGCGGCCAACATGACCAGATATTGATGCCACTAGAAGCTGTTATGGTAACCAATTGTCGAATAGGTAAAGAATTAATACAAAAAAAAAGAAAGGGGCTATTCATAGCTATGGAAAAAACTATCGGAGATTTTAATGGTTTTCGAAAACGAGAAGTATAAAATTGAGAAAAACAAACCACTAGTTTGGCAAGAGCTACCATAAGTGGAATTATAAAAATAAAGGCACTAATAAATCCTTGCACTATCAGAGAAATCATAAAAACCAGAGGAAAGATATTAATGCCACAGTCTATTAAGGCAAATATAAGCAACCTTTGTTTTGGTTGTTGAAGTTCATCATAGTGATTTGCTACTTCGTCAAAATTTTGAGCTTCCCTTATTGACTTGTTAGTAGTATACAGACGAAAAACGTTTATAAACATCATAATACAATTACCCACAAAGGATAGAATTGAAATAATCGAAAGATAGTGGTGATTACTATTAATATGATATATAATGTTTTGAATTGTTAATACCAGCATTGGTAATGAGTGTAATAACAAATCACCAAAAAGTTGAAGGTAATTTGTATCTTTAAGATCTCTGAAAACTAAAACATATCTACGTATGAACCAAACTCCAAACTCGCAAGTTATAAGAGAAAACAATAAATAGATAAGTATAAGGGGTGAATGGCTAGAGAATACTATAAGACTATTTTGTTGAGCATTCAAAATATATTGTGCATGAATAACGACAAAAGCTTTAAGCGATTCCAATGTAGAAATAAAGATAAGTGTTATTACACTAAATTTTGGAGCCCAATCATAAGAAATATTATTGCTCTTAACATATTCACACACATATACTTGAAGTCCAGGATTAATATTGAAAGTGGCATTTAAAAAGTCAGAGAATTCAACAGAATTATATGCGAATGATACATTTATATCAATTTTAGTAAAGGGAAAATTTACTATATTATTTACGAAACAATTTTGTATCGATGCTCGACATATAGATTCCGGGCTCTTATTTCCTTCATTAATAATTAAATAACTGGTACTGAAAAAATTTATATCATTATTAGCTGCAGCAACAGGAGTAACGAGTGGAAATGACATATTCGTATTATTAATGGTTGCAGTACCTACTATACCATAGTAAGAATTAAATCCATCATAAAGACCAAAACTACTTTGATATGATCCATAATTAATTATTAAATAATCCAGAAAATAAATAATCATCTTCATGTCTGGGGAATTCCTTAGGTGTTTATCATATTTAATCAATTCATCGTGAGGATTATTATCATCATAAGGATTATAAGAAAGGAAACTCGTAATATTCCAACGCGATAAATTTGAATCTTCCCAAGGAATAGCATTATCTATTAGAGAATAATTTTTAAACGTCTCACACATTTTATTTGTTGAATCCATAAATGGCAAAAGAAAAATATAATCTGCTATAAGAGTGTAAGTTGCCACGAAAAGTGTAATGTAATAAAAGTTGCGTTTAAGTTTATTAAAAAACTCCTTAAAGTTCATGATGCAATTATGATATGTGAACGCTAAACTGAATATGCTGAATTTTGTAAAAACTTGATTTCAAATACAGTATAAAAACTTTCGAAGCTTTAATTCTGATAATCAGTGTTTTAAGTTAGTCATTGATAGTTCGTACTCTATTACTTAAATCAGGTAGTTGCGCCACGTCACACTAAAACCAGCGTAGGTTTAAAAAAAAATGGAATTTGTTTGTTGCATTGAAATTAATCGCCTTTTAATGATTTATTAGCTGATTTGAAGCTAAGCATTTTTTCTTATTTTGAAAATTCTTTTATATTGAATTTTATTTAGTCATTTTTTTTTAATTGATCATTTTTTTGTTTTCTAAATGCTCAACTTTTTTTATTCATAATTCAGTACAATTTTTCGTCATGTGGTACAAGTCACGCATGATCTTTCAAAAGCTTCTATGCAGATTTTTCTTTTTAAATCTTAATTCTATATATAGGTCGTATCATCACTTCTGATACATCATATTTTATAAAATAAATTAAAAAGCTTATTAATAATATTAAATCTAATGATTGT